AATTAATACTTTTTAACTCTTCGAGAATTTATCTTTTTGACGAAAATATTTTCGAATATAAAACCGATCCCAGTAAACACCGAGCGGCGTTAGCAATCTAAATCCACATAGATTCCACATGGGTGTCACACGCTTGTGGTTTTCAGATTGCTACCGCCGCTCAAATTACACGGTGTTTACTGTGATGTTTTAAAAGCTTCTTTTTAATTTGGTAATTCAGTATAAATAGTGTCAAAACATATTTTTTAATATGACTACATAAAATTACATTGAGAGAAATGATTATTTATCACTATTTTTTTATGATTTGTAGACAAATTGACCGTCCTGGACTTACCTTCAACAATTAAAGTCCTATGGAGCAGGACTAGGCATTCACCACGGCGGAAGCGGCACTGGACTGAGTAAGCGGAAACCAGCGCCTCCACTACGAAATTGTTAAAGAAGAAGTATCATGACATACTTATTCCTGGCAGAAAAAGTATGGTCATCTTACTGCTAGCAGCACCATCATGGCACAGGTTAATATCAAAACTAAATGATTATGTATACAAACATATTCTATTATGAATAGTTCTACACAAGAAATTTTATTGCTTTATTTTAATATTAGCCAAAATTCAAAATTCAAGTTAGACATTTTTTTAAGTTTTAATCTGTGTTTTTTCCTCAGTTTTTTTCCAAGTACCAGGACCATTTTATATATATTCTTTTCTATTTATAGGTGGACGAGAAGTTAAAAAGACGTTTCTCTCAGTGTCTGCATCTATGGAAGAAATATCAAAATTGGCCGAAAACAATTCCGGTTCGAATTTGGATCATGAGGGCGGAAATGGCAAGGGAAAAGGGTATAAAATTTGTCAAATTGTTAGATATTTCTGGATTGATTATCATTAACAATATATTCTTTTTTGCATAGAAGTAAAAAGAAAGACGCTCTGCGTAAGTCTCAGCAACATTTTGATCAACTGGAACAACTCTGGAGCAAAGTACCCACTGCACACCGTCCAGTGGCAGCAGGTGGAACCGAAATTATGTGAGTTGACCTTATAATTTAATTACTATATCCAAATAATTTAAAATGTATATTGTTTTCTTGATTAAAATGTTTTTTTTTCACATTTTTAGTTAACGAAACAGAGCTCTTTTGGCAGAAGACCGAATAGACTCATCAGATGAGGAAACAGATGGATAAATTTTAATATTAGGATATAAACCAAATATTACATACCAGTCCATGCGTAAGTAATTTATAAGTAATAAGGTAAGTGTTAACATGTGGATAAGTGCATTTTTTTAAAACATTTTTAAGATAGTTTACTTTTTGAAATAAAATGACTTGATACAGACACACACACGTATTATAATTTAATAAATTATATATGATTTCTAAACTTCTAATCTAATGTTTCTGCTTTTTTTTCGAAAGTTTTAAAAAAAATTAACTATTATATTCAACGTTTTTTGGATATGGTAAATCCTTCTTCTGAAACTTAATGACTAACCATTTTTCATTCAAAGAATCAACAAACTTTTAAACGAAACAAAAACTAAAAGTTATGTTTTGAATATATAGATAAAATCACCTTCACTCTTTTGAGTATTGTTTAACATTTTTTAAACTTACAGATATAAAATATATCAATGTTTATAATTTTGTACCTATTGAATCGTAATATTTTATACCATAAATAAAAATGAATTGAGCGAAAACAGTTTTTACTAAAAATCAATAAAATATGAAAATATTTTCACAAAACATAATAAATGTAATTTTACTTGACATTTAAATGCCCTTTTATACAAATGTGATGCATTTCTAATGGATTTGTATTTTTAAACTTTCATACTATAGAGAATAAGGAAATACAATTTATAACATATGCACTTTCCACATGTTACATATATGCCGATAATATATTAATGTATAAGTATAAAAATTAAGATATGATAATATAATGCCCCTAACTCTCGACAATCTATTTGCACACAATATATATTTATTACACTTAAGTATAAAGCAATTAAATGTTTCCTTATTGTGTACTTCTCGATCTACGAAAACATTAATGTTTGTGTTATATAAATATATATAAATATGTATATATATATATTATAGTACGTCTGTTCCTATCCCAAACCTCAAGAAAAATATTTATATAGACCCTATACATATCAAAAATATATTTAACTAAATTAAATTATATTATATTAAAATATATTAAATATTTATATATTATTATTTAAGCCGTATTATCATATGTATAGAATTATGCCAGTTATTGTCCAGATTGGACTAATTTAATAAATATTTAATTAAGTCATAAAAGTTAAACGTTGTTATGACAGTTTCAAATTTATACTCTTTATCATTTGATTCTGTATAATTCTAGAAAATGTAAGCCAAATGTTTTCTTTGTGATATATTTTATATTGTTTGTTTGATTTTAATATACATATATTAAACGGCAGTTAGAAAATGATATTATATGTGTCAAATTTCCAAATATTATAGTACTTACACCGTGCATGTAAAGGATGACCCAGAACTCAACATCAAGCTGAAACAGGGTCATAGTATTGTCTGTAACTGTCCTGAAAAAAAAATTTCAGGACATTTAGAGTCAATACTATCACCCCGTTTCGACTTGATGTTAATTTCTGTGTCATGCTATATACATGCATGTGTACATTAGATATAAACACTCCTAATTCTAAAAAAATGAACCATGCTCTGACTATCATTAGTATTAATAAGATATATATGTGTATATAAACCATAATAATGATTGCACATATATATGTAAATGTAAGTAGTGAGCAATAAAGTGTATGTTAATAAAATGAAACAATCTATTTAATCTAATAATCTTCTAAATGCAGGAATAAGAACATTAGAATCATATTTGCTGAAGGAAAATGTCTCGAATACTCTAATTTTTGTTTCTTCTAGTATTTTGGGGTATTTACAAAATTTGGTGAGTAACTTATATAGTTGATTACTAGTATTATATAGACATTCTTTAGGATAAATTTCAGGATAGACCAAACTATTCGGTGCAATTGGTAGGCACCCACAATATGTTCCCTCTATCCTAAAATAATAATAATTATTAAAGTCATGTTTGCAATATTTGAATTATAGTTAAAAAAATTCAAGATTTTAATTTACATTGCTACTCCAAAGAATTCATGTTTTGCTGTAGATACTACTATATCAGCATTTAATAGAACTTCATAATACTTTTCTTTACTTTCTGCATAACCAAAATTTATAATATTATCTACTAATATCTCTTTGGCTTTATTAAATATTTCAGGCACATCTGTTGTGTGTTCTCCAAGCACTGATAATCTGAATTGTATATTATTTTCCTTCATTTTCATCATAGTTTCTAAAAACAATTCTGGATTTTTATCATGCTCCCATCTATGAGGCCAAACTATATGAATTGGTAAGTTTTGCTCTTTTGAAACTCTTAATTTTGGAATTGAATCAAAGACTACAGGAAAATATAACACAGAACACTTAGGAATAATTTGTTCTTCTAGTCCTTGAAACTTAATTCCAGGTTGCATCTTTAAATGTTTTTGAATGTTTGATAAGAATGAATTTTTGTTGTATTCGGAGTTGAAAATGACCTTATCGGCAGTCAAACTAAAATCAATAGAATAAAAGATAATAGAAAGGAAATCACAGATGTTCAAATTAATATTTAAAAAAACAGGTCATATATATATATATATATATATATATATATATATATATATATAATAATTTACCAAGATATGATTTGATTATATCCATATTGAAAATCCCTTTCTTTTTTATACTCGACTGGATAAATAAGTTGATTTTCATGAAAATAAATAATTTTTTTACACGTGTGTAAATGGGGGCATAAACCTATGAGCTCCGTAAGATTTAAAACAGAACTGCACAGTAATGTTTTGTAAGAAACATCTTTCGGAATTATTTGCGAAAAATATAAAGCACTCGTTCTTGCTCTCCAATGCCATTTTTTAGCTGGCAAAGTTAATAACAAGTAATCAGTTTCATTAAAATCTGTAACAAACTTTAGATTAGAACTTTAGAAACGATTCAGTTTCGGCTTTTATAAAACCTTTCAAAAGTGCATCAAGTAACTGTTTATGAGATCCTCCATAAAATGGTTCTATAATGAGATATTTTTGACTTGACATTTGGTTTGTTGAAACTTATCATTAATTAAATCATAATTAACTTTATAATTATTTAAATCATAACAAATAACTGTCTAGGATTATTAATTGTTGTGGATAAAAAAAGAAACGATTTTATAGGTTATGTACACCAACTGTCAAACGTGACAACTTCTTTGAGGTTATGTTATCTTCATTAATAAAGTCGTAAAGTGATGTAATTGTATTTAGTTATTTATTAATTATTATCAATAAGTAAAAGTCATCTGCCAAAGAAATCATTGATTTAGCAATAATACAAGTAAGTGTTTTTATATAATATAGATACATCATTAATTATAAGGGCAGAAGTATAACTAAATCTTATTGCAGTGTGGATTTTATTTAAAAAATCTGTTATATTAAAATATAACCAGTTTTCATTATGATTTAACACTTTAACGACTTAAAAGTACTAAGAAGTTCTATTAAAATATTAGTTACACATAAATAACCCAATGCAATTTTAACTACAAAATAGTAAAGGCTTCATAAACATGCTTCATTCATTCGCTGCAACTATTTACGAATTACAAGTTTGACTCAATTCAATTTATAGAAATTTTATTGGATTTGCTTTTTCTTTAATATCACTTTCTTCTTTTATGCCAAATATAAAAGCATTTAAAAAACAAGTAGTTATTCTAGTAGTTTACTTCTATCTTACTATAAACGATAAGTAAAATAATATACTAAACTTATCTGAAAAAAGGCCTATAAATCTTCTTCATATATTAAGATATGACATATCAGCATGATGTTAATGTGATAAATGTATCTCTTTGAAACTTATTTTTTCACTAATTCAAAAAAAGTGACTTAATTCCTATTTTTGTGCCTAAAAATGTCTTTATTTGTAGATTTATTAATTATATAAGAAATAGCAAAACAAAATAACAAAAGTATATTAGATGTCCTCAAAAATTTGTCTAAAATTGTATTAAATTGAACTATTAAATGATATCATAAAGAACTTTGACTTGAGCCCCCTTTTTAGTGATTGGTGTTTTTGAGAATGTAAACTAGCAAGATAGAATAAATTGTCATTCTGGAATCGCTTAAAATTCCATATAAATATTTGACTGAACTTAAAAGAAATATTGAATTTACACAAGTTGAAAAAAAAAAGCTCTTAGAAGGGTCAGTAACATTTAATTAGAAAAATCTTACTGAAGGTTTAAGTAAGGCTTATAAGAATTAGAACCTCCTTAGGAATATTGATAGTCCTATGAAGTGAATCATTATCTTTAAAAATTAAAGGAGCTTTTAAAAACGGTCAAGAATAAAATTACAAAGTTTTTCAACCATTTCTTAAGACTTGAGCTAATTAATTAAATTGTTAATTTATTTTGTCACCTAGGAACATATTCCTTATAATCCCATAAAAATTATCATTTTGTATTAATGATTTCTATGTACAAGTCTTATTTTTTTAAAAGAGTATTTACTTTTACTGTATTTGCAAAAAATCAGTACTTAAATCTTTACTTTTAAATGTTTCTTAAGTTTTTGATTCATTTTTTTTTAAATATAAAATAGTTTTTAAATTAGTAGCTATATTAATTACTAATAAGTATTTATGTATGTCTAATTGAAAATCTACTAAAACTATTTTACTTGATATAATAATTCTTATAATAAAAATATATAAAACAAAATACATATAATAAAATGTTTAAAATTTTATAAAATTTAATATCCCACTATGTTCATTTATCTATTATCCATTTCAGGATGTCATTCCCCAATAAAGAAGATAGAAAAAAATGTTGGGATTCTAGAGACCAGTATTGGGAGTGTCTCGATACAAATGAGAATAAATCCAAGCAAAACACTGAAGAAGTGCAAGCTTGTAAAGCATTTAGAAAACTGTTTGAAAGTAATTGTCCCGCACAGTGGGTTACACATTTTGATAGAAAACGATCGTACTTGCAATTTAAGCAAAGGATAGAAAAAGAAGGATATGAACCTTTAGATAATAAGTAACATATATATTTATATCAGTAGTTAAGTAAAATGTATTTGAAATAATTTCTTATTACACAAAGTTGCAAAAGTGAATGTGTATCCATTCAAACTATTTTTTCTTTGTAAATTTTATGACAACACAGAGAACATTCTTTGCTTGATTCCAGAACGTTTTAAGACTTTTCATGCTTAAAACTATGAACTCAATTAAATTATTTGTATCAATATATAATATTCTTAATCAAAGCACTATCCAATGTAATAAATCACAAACTATTACGATTATGTGAATTATATTTGCTATTCTTACAAGTTACATTACATATTTTTCATTATTCTTCTGATGTCATACTTTCAGAAGATAATTTAGTTGTGCATTCAATAATTTTTCTTGTAGGCTCATTAAGATCATCAACTTGAATACTAACTATATGTCTTCCAGGAACCATAATAAGTCCTAAAACTCTTTCTTCACTTGGATCAGAGTGTTCACTGAGATATTCTGAACACGATGCTAGAATAATATTGCCATCACGATCTGTACATGCAAAAGTACCATAAAGCACTCGACCATCAGTCATTTTAATACGAAAACTTTTGTTCAGCCACTGCCGGAGTTGAACTCGGCCTTTTGAATCTTTATTTCCCTAAGAAAAAAATTAAATTAAACTATGGTATGTTTATAATGCATGAATTTTATTACATAGATATATTTTTAAAGCATTTTCATAGCATTAGAAATTTTTAATTGGAATTATTGCACATATTAAAAAAGAATTGAGTATTTTCTAAAAATGTTTTATGATACAACATTTGTAATGGGTTTCATAGATTAATTTATGGATGTCTAATATAAAAGTGTTGTAAAACGCAAGTAGGTATTTTATTGAGCAAAAGACCATGTATGTACAAGAGATAGGATTCATTTATTCTGAGAGTAAAATAACCATGATAAGCAATAGGTAAAATAACAGAGTGAGCTTATGTGAGAATAGGCATATAAATCTTTTTATGTCTATTAAAAGTTTTATGTTAGGATGTTGATTAGACTTAATTGTACATCTTTGAAACTATTATTAGACATAAATATCACATCTATTATTATGTATTTGAATAATGAATTGTTATACAACCTACCATGAAGTAAGAACTTATAATCTTATATAATTGATTCATATCTCCTTTATGAGATAAAGAAAAATTTTTGATAGAGAGTTAAAATTTATGGAAAACAACAAAATAATGGTACATATTTTATATCTTCATTATTCAAATTTTAAATTATAACCTCAAATAAAAATCAATTACTTTTTCATTGTCTGCTAATGCTATATTGTCATTCATGATATATTATTATCTAACTTTTAATTTCAATTCCTTAATGTTTCATGTGCCTTTAGTCCTTTGTTTCTTCAGCAAAAACTTTTTTTCTTGTGAAATCCTAAAATGTATTTTGTGTGTTTTGCTACAGTTGTCGCAAAATAATATTAACTAAATTTATTAAAAATACAATGAAACCTAGACAATGTAATAAATATGTCTATGAATATAAATATGGCTATGAAATATTCATTTAAATGCGAATTGTTTCACATTTGACGTACAGATCTTTAAATTGTCATTTTAATATTTATATTTTATAGTGAGGGGTGCACACAAAATTCTTTCAACTGCAACTTCACTTCTTACATTTTCTAACAACTGTCAAATTATTTGAAATTGGATTAATTTAAATAATTGATTAATGCAATGTAACAAAGTTTGTAATTCAATTTCTAGTGATAAATTGATTTAATAAATAATTACTTTATACGTGATACTTTAAAATAAGTGTTTTTTGTAAATAAATAATTGTAATATTAATTTTTCAAAAATTGGAATGAGCGCCATCCAACGACCAGTGTTTACGTCAGATGTAAAATGTCGCAGTGATAGGAGTCACTAAATCCCAAAAAGATCACATCTGCAAAAACACCCAAACAATTTATACTTCGCTCTTTATTCTCGATATCTATTTTATTTGTAATTCATCCAATAAACCAACATGGTCTTTAGGATGGTCTTTGTTTGTAGTGATTGCAAAACCACGTTTACAGCTCGTAGCTCTTTATATCGACATCTCAGGAGACAGCATGACAAAGAGCCAAGAGCCATTCATCCTAATTCGTGTCAGTTTTGTTCGAAAACCTTTAAAACCATATATACTTTACATCGACATGTACGCCGAGTGCATTGTAATATCCCTGCTCCTTCAAATACACAATCCTGTTCATCATCTTCTGAAGATTATACACATCCCTTCTCGCTTTCTAAAACAGATGCTAATAATCCTCCTTTATCCACCTCACATGTCTCCACACCTTCCAATTTACTTTCACACGCAACACCTTACACAAATTCCATTCCTTCTACTACATCTATATCAGATTCTCCTCAAATATCTCCCCACATAGCTCCATCGCCTCCACCCTCAGTGACTTCCCCACTCAGTTCAAAGGAAAATTTAGTAGGTATGTATTACTTTTATATTTATAGATACTCTTTGTTGTTTATTATGTTACATAGTTTATCTTCTTGTAGGTACACCATCGAAAACAGGCAGGATAAGATGTCCAGTTGCTCCCTGCTCTTCGGTTTTTTCCAGATATGCATATTTGAATCATCATATTAAGTTATACCATGATATAGCTATAGACTACGAACAATTACAGTTTGAAAAGTTTGAGGGTATCAAATCTTCTATCTCATCATTTATGTTTCTAATTATACAATTACCTACATTTTTCTCTTTCTGGTAGAATTTGAATTATGGAAATCAGAAGTAGAGCAGATGGAGTTAGCGCGTTATCTTCCATGTACTTCAGGATATAACTCAAAAAGCGACAAAACGATGTATTATGATTGCCACCGATCGTATATATATAAACAGAAACAAATTAAACGCTTCAGAAACCCCAGCATCAAAACTGGGAAAGCTTGTCCGTCAAGGATTATTTGTAAAATTGATCATAATGGAGCAGTCAATGTGAAGTTCTGGAAGACACATTTAGGGCACAATAAACAGATTAAGTCAATTTCTTCACTGACACCGACAAACTCTGGTTTTGACAATCAGATTTTGGAAAGGGAAATGATTAAAAACGCGAATGAATTAAGAAACATGACTAATATTAATACATCAGAAGACATGGATCATCACAACAATGATGAAAAATATTTATGGGCTATGCGAATGGACATCACACTGCAATCTTATTTGAAAGAAGCTTATAAACCCGGTGTAAATAAAAAACTGTTTGAAAAAGGTGTTGCCCTTATAGCTATGTCATTGCCCAGCTATAAAACAACACAACAAGTTGACATTAAAAAGATAATAGAAACACAAAGAAATAATTCTAGGTCAAAATATGCTTTCCCACAAGGACAAAGTGTTAAACAACAAAATACTGACTGATATCCATAAGAAACATCGACAAGATAATCGTTGGAGCTTATGAAGATCAGTCAGGACTTGCACATGCTCGAAAATTAACTAAATAGAGTTTTGGAAAACACATAAGGACACAGTAAACAGATTAAATTGATCTCTTTAGATAAGGACATATCAAGTGTAAATTTTCAAACGCCTTGCATGATTATAAAATTAACTAAATTAAGATTAACCAAATAACACATTGATATATCTCAAAAACTAGAGCTGTGAAAGAAATTATTTTGGAATTGGCGGTTTCAAATTTTTTAAAAATCATAAAATCTCTGACAAAAAATCTGTCACACAGTGTTATTAATTCATAAAGATGTGAAGAATTGTCCAACATGTGTAAACAGTTGACCTAATCGATAAGAATTTATTTATAGTTTAATAGAAGGTGATAACACAAAATGTTGTTGATCAAGCCTCACTCAGTCCTAATGATCGGGCATTACAGTACTATACTGCATATTCTCATATCGTGAAATATAACCAATGTTATTATTAAAATGTTGTACAAATGTATTATAAAAAAAGCTTTGTACTTTAGTGCCATGCATTCCAAAGCAGTACTTGCATAATAAAACTAGTTCATGATCAAGCATATGAACATGTTTTTCTATAATTTGTAAGACTGATTTTTCGATTGGAGAAAGATTTTGATTCTACATGATGTAATAATGAGTTTTTGAAAGGTGGAAGAGATCAAGCATATGATCATATTTTTCTATAATAAGTACCTCATGAATGCAATCTATGCTTGGCTTTTCATTTCTTGTCTCTTCATTTCTTGTCTTTTCTTATTCCTAATTTCAATGTCATTATTTGTATTTATTTTGTATCATTCTTTAAATGTTTTCTATAACATAGGTCAAGTTGTAAATAATATAATGTGAATATATTTTATTTTTAATAAAAATGTTTATCGGAATAAATGTTTTTTTTAACTATGTTTGGAATTGCTCATGGCAATCATATTGTAAAATTTGTATGAGATACACCTAATTATTTTAGAACATTCTAAATATCATTACTATATTTATATACAACTAGCACACCCGACGAACTCTGTTTCGCCACAAGATGGTTATGAAGAAATTTTTTGATTGTTTTATATTTGAAAAGGAAAAATTTGGTTTTATTACACAACAGTAATGAATTTATTTCGATTACAAAAATGAAGTGTTTTTAGTTGAACTTCTCTAAGTAAATGAAAGTGAATCCGCAAATTATTCGTTTCGTTGAAGTGCTCTTTGGTAAACCACATTTTTTGTTTTTTGGTCTGACGTTAACACAAACAAAGCGGATGGTTTTCCAACTTGTGAACGGGCAACGTATAACTGCCCATGTGAAAAACAATGATTTTCTAAATAATCTATTTGAAATTTATCCCGCAAACACTAAGCGATTGGCCTTGCGACTTGTTAATTGTCATTGCGAACTGGAAATTGTAAAGTTAAACGGAAGACCAGTCGGAATCATTGGTATGTCACCAAATCGCCAGCTGAATGGACAGTTTGGAGTGGAATGGAAATTGAATGGACAGTTTGGAGTGTATTTGTACACACGGTATTTTATCTCTGAAAGTTGGTACGTCGCTTTTTTTAGGCTCGTTGGGTGTTTTTCCGCATGACATCTTTTTGGGATTTAGCTGCGTGTCGCAGTGATCAATCTGAAGTTTCTTTTATTTAAGTGATGTTTTAAGAACTGTCAACTGTCAAACGCGTTGTTCGTTTCTATCAAACAAAAGCACGCAGGACAAAAATAGCTTGTGGTCATAAATCGATTTCCCTAATTTATGATTAATTAAGATAGCTTTTTCGATTACGTGCGATGATTATAAGACATGTTTTCGGAGGTTTTATTAACCTTCGCCGTTTTAATAGCTGTTATACATACACGTACGTTGTACAAATTATGTGAAATTTATACAATGGCCGAGGTTAAGTCAAGAACAATTTTTTATTATATTTTTATTTTTAGGTGAAACTCCAAAAAATGATCGTGAAAATGAGAAATTATTTTTGCAAGTTCGGCCTGAGCCGAATCCGTACCCGTTCATTACCAGAATGGCTACAGAGAGATTGAATCTGACATGTAGAATGTTTAATAGGACTGATTCTTTTCCTGTTAATGCATATAATTTAACTTGGAGAGTGCCTAGAGATTCCATGAATAGGTGACCAACTAACAATTGTTTTATTTTATTTACTTGTAAACAATAACTTATGACTTTTGAAATCATCGTGCTAATTTTGTATTCAACTAAACTCAGCAAGGTTTTCATTTATATATTTTTAGAATAGCCTTCCAATTAAAATTTGTATTTTCACTATTTATATTCTCATTATTTATTTATTTATTTTTAAATATATAGCCCACAGATTTCTTCCAAGAGGACTCAAAAATACATTTATTTTACATAATGAATAACATTTAAAATATATACAAAATTACAATATTTAGTTATTAACATAAAATGCTTAACATAAAATTACATATAATGCAGAATGTGGCGATTATTTGAATAGGTGAACTGTTTTGAATATCTATTTCATTATTAATTAAGTTAAAGTTAGAGGACATAAGTAGAATAGGCGAATTTAAGAGAGAATTAGATATAGGAGTAGTATAATTGAAAAATAATTGTGAACTCATAGATAGCCTTGGAACATTAAAGAATAGTTGGTTAAGAATAAGAGGACAGTCTATAGAATTATTGCAAAGTTTAAATAAGAACATAATTGTACAGATAAATCGAAGTGAGGCAAGAGAAGGAATACCAAATTCTTTTAGTAAAGTGTTGTGGTCAAAGCCACGTTCAGGGTAAATTTTATATGTTTTATAATGTAGATATTTCAGAAATTTTTGCTAAACCTTCTCTATCGCATCAGAGTTGTTGATTTGATGAGGATACCAAATAATCGAACCATATTCTAATTTTGAGTTACAATAGAATAGTACATGTAAAGCAGTGCATTGTTAGAATTGAATTGTTTACAATTTTTCAGTATCAAACCTAAAGATTTATGTGCTCTATTACAAATATCAGTTATATGATCAGTGAAAAACAAACCAGAATCAAATAAAACTCCTAAATCTGATATTTTATTACATCTATCAATGCTGGTGTTAAAAATTTTATAATCAAAATGTATTATATGGCTGAATAAAAATATTTTCTATTGCAGTAGTGGTATAGTGCCTTATAGGTTTAATGATGGAACAATTGGTCTCAAATTTCTTGACCTGCGAGAGTCAGACAGTGGAGATTATACTTGCCAAGCCAATTCAATTGGTCTACGCTTTACAGTAAAGTTGAACATAAAACCGCATATTAATAAAGGAACAAGTAAGTGGAAAAATATTTCACTGTGGGATTACATGTATTTTTTGAAATTTACTTATTATTTGATAAATTTGAATAATTTACTTGTAATTTATAACATCTTTAATTTATAGTTTTTATAAATTGTCAATTGTAAGTTCTGTATAATTACGTTCATTAGGTATATGAATAATTAAAAAATATTGTTGAACATTAATTTTCTTCTAATCCATTCAAAAATGTACTTCTTCATAACTAGAATATGAAGTGAATAAATACTTTGAATAGTAAATGGTCTTATATTTTTCATTCAATGATTTTCTTTCTATTTAAGTAATTTATTATTGCCTTGTATAATATAATCATAAATAAAAGTAAAATATTTATTGTAATTCCATCATCTTTCAATTAAACTATATACAAAAAATGAAGTTTAAATCTTAACTTAACAAATTTAGTTTTTTATATTAGTTAGATATCTTTATATATGTATGTCTTTTGAATCATTTAAATACTATTCATTATCCTTTTTTCTAGATGGAATGTCATATTGTGGTTCTCGAATGTTTATTTGCTCAAAAAGTATATTGGTTTCAAATGATAGTCTTGGAAGCAATCAAATAAAAAATAATCAGACATTAAATGATTTTCATTCACCTTGTATATCTGATGCTTTTGTCTGTGATGGAAAATCAGATTGCCCCAATCAAGAAGATGAGTCAAGTGATCTTTGTGGACAAGATGCCTGTACAGGTAAGTTTCTAGTAATACCCTCACATACCAACCTATATTTATATTTATTACATGATGTAATAATTATTTAATATTTAATTAACTAATTCTTCTTTCAGGTAAACTACGTTGTAGTGATAACAGATGCATTCCAAGACATTGGTGTGAAGCAAAAATACCTCATGATTGTTGCCGAAATAAAAATAATGCAGATCATATGACCCATGATGAAATGATATTGAGTGATTCTAAAAGTACAATGCACAATACCATTGTTAAGAGTAATGGAGATTTTGATAAGAGATTCAGATTTGTAAATGATTATGGAGAACATGTCTTTGAAGGGAGTTATCTTAGAACAAGAGATTCAAAATCTGGAGTTGATTTTTTACATATTACCATATATACTATCATAGGTGGGTAATAATTTATTTTATTTTATTTCTTGGAGTTATAGTTATTATTATAAAGAGCAGATCGTTTTTTGTTTAGATATGTTTTTATATTTTTTTATCTTTATTACTAATCCATTTTGTTAACATCTATTTTGTTTATTCTAAAAATAGTTCCCAATTTTATTGTTAATTATGTGTAGACTTCTTCAGAGAATTTTGTACTGGATATTGTCTAACTTCTTTATTTAGAATAAACAAATTGATTTAAAATTTTAGATTATTTAATTTTGAAGCTTATCAAAAAATGTAAAAGTTGCACACATATTAATTTTTCATTTTCTATTGTTATTTTAATACTAAACCAATTTACCACAAATTTTATCTAATAAACTTTTAAAGCCTATTAAATAAAAGATTGAATTTTTTCTATAAATGCTGAATTATTTGTGTATCTATTATTTGTGTTCTATAAATGCTATATTATTTGTGATTTTTTTTTCAGCTTGTGCTATAGCATTAACCATAATTGTCCTGGTACTTGTTACAATGCTCTGCAAGACATATATATCCAATAGACAACATTTTGAGCAAGAGAATTGCCAGTCCAATAATTATCGATATTCTACCTATCAGGATATGAATCGGTTTAGGCAGCCGATGTATCGAAATGGAAATTATCAATATCCAGCAGTTGACAATCACAGAATGTTTTCTGCTCCAAGATCTGCTGAAAATGAGCAAATTAGAGAAAATTGTTCTATAAGAAATTTAATCACTAGGTGGTTAGGGATAATACGAGGGAATGAAGCAGAACAAGATGATGATGAAATGTCCAGGAGAATGAATCTTATGAATGAAGGTGAGTGTAATAATCATATAAGAGATTAAAGTTAAAAATTAAATATTTATGTATATGTTGATGCTTAGTGTTATTTTGTAAGCAAATAAGCAAAGCTGAAACATATTCAAATTCATTATCTGCTTTATACTGCAATGTTTAGCAGAATATGTGAAGTTACTGAGAGATTATTTCTTTTCTTTAATTTTTATTTCTTTGATATAATTCATACATATTGTATCTCAGCCAGACAATTACTCTGGTATAAAAGGTCATAGCAATCTTATTACAAAAATGTTTTTTTTTTATTTTTCTACAATAAATTTACATAGTGACTTATATTTACTTGCTACATACATACATACATGCACACTTACATACATATAACTTTGCATACACATAAGTTATTCATTAAAATCAAAAAATAGTTCTTGCACCAAGTCATTTAGAAATTATATAACAATTAAATTGAAGAAAACTTTTTATCAAAGTTACCTATGCAACTAATATAAAACCTTATTTATATTACAAAGACTATATTAAATTAAATTTCGTTATTTATCCAAAATAGATGATATAGAAAAACTTTGTAGAGTCAGTATAAAATGTTTCTTTCAAAATGAAAATAGAAATTAATTGTACTCTGCAAGATGTTCATTATTACACCTCTGGCATTGATTTTATGAAAGCAATTGAAACCTTATTCACTTGCATAATTCTTTTTATCTGACATACTTAAATTTTTTTCTTTGATTTATTTTTTTTACCAGGTCTTCTAAACCACAAATATTATAATACGAAAATCGCCAGATATTATTTCAAACATTAACTATCGTATGCGTTGTTGAAATACATTTTTTTAAACTTTTATATAATCACTATTATCTTATATATATATATATATATATATATATACATATATATATATATATATATATGTATATATACATATATATATACAATACCCATAAACATTTTTTAAATTTTCTTCTAATTTTTGAACAGCAATTAGAACTTAATAATTCCATTAAAAGCAGTTATGATAAAACATACCCTTAACAACGTCATTTTTTGGAAGGCAATTGAACTATTGTCCTAATTATACTTTTAATTAAACATGACTGATAATATTTTTAATTTAACATGGATCTTTATTTCCACATGCCAACTTGATATTCAATTTATTGGGTTGTTCGGAAAGTTACTTTGTTTCTTATAGACAGTTTGGCACGTAATTTTCGTGCAATAAACAAATTTTTTAATAAATTATGTATTGGATGTTTTGGTTGAACATCTTTTGTCATATTTCTGGTATTAGCATAATTCCGGTAACACAAATTTTTTGGTCGTTATTGGCAAAAAACTGATCAAAGTGTTTTTTGACATGCTGATTCGGTAACGGTTTTACGGTCTAAAATTTATTTTAGTGGCCGGAAAAAATAATGGTCCGATGATGGCAGGTCTGGAGAACATGATGAATGTGTCATTGGGTCTCATTCAAGCTACAAAAGCTTTTGGCTATCGATAAAACTTATGTGAGGTTTTGCATCGTCTTGATGCAGGACTATAACTTGCTTGTGAATTAATTCTGATCTTTTCTATGGAAGTATATCATTTAGTTTCTCCACCTGATGAGATAAGGCATTTGAATTAACCGTTATGTTATCCTGGAAAAGCTTGAAAATGAACAATTCCTTTAAAATCTTACCAAACATACTGCATTACCTTTTGCAGTCAAATTTCAGCTTTGCACCTGTTTTGAGCAGGTTCTTCTTTTTTGTTTCATGGGCAATAACGTGTATTGTATTCTTTACATCCCATTTCACATTCCTAGTGACAATTCGCTTCAAATCCTGATAATTTTCAGGAACTTTCAGAAGCGAATCGCGGACGTCAGTGCTACGACACACGTTTCTTTCTATGAGAACCATACATTGAGTTTCGAGGAAAATTTCAGACCTTTTGAGTGGTCATGAATTGTTAAATTTTAAAAATTTTAATTTAATGGGATCTCGTGTATTGTTATTTCACGATTTGTATCAACTAATTCTTTTTCCGCGTCTTTATCAGCTTCCACCGTACTTCTTGGACCTGATGCATTTTGGACATCAAAATACCAGGAATGAAATTTAGTAAACCAGTTTTGGCTCTGTCGTAATATCAGCACGCCATTTCCTTACACATCGGTCAATTTCATTTTGACTTGAACAGTATTTTTACCTTTTCTTAGCAAAAGAGTAAAATATGTCGAAAATGCTGCTTAATTCTTTCTCTATTCAATGTGGCACCATTCAAAAACTACTGCATGTAATTGATTAGATTTTTTTTTACACAAGCCTTGAAATATAAGTTTTCAAATCATATAATAATAATTGTGCTGAAGTGTGATGATAGGTTCAAAAAAATATAGTTAAATTCTGGTGGTTACGAAAACGAAGTGACTTTCTGAACAACCTTATAAGATTTTGCAAAATTGCACTCGTGGTTCTTTGTTCAATTTATAATATTTTATACTATATAAATTTAATTTTAAAAATGAATTTTGTTCATTTTTGTTGAAGGAACAACAGTAAATTCAAGGTACACTGCGCCTTTAAATCATCCATCCAGTTTTAACTACCGTACAAATACGAGACAAATAAATCCGACCGGTTACTCCGTAGTTTCACAATATGACGAAACTTTACCGACAAGTTCTGATTTTCGATGTCCTAGGAGGAGGGATATTTATCATGTCGATAATATTTGCACAGAAAATGATACTGAAACTAGAAATATACATAGTGTGACTACTCAGACAAATAACGCGGATGAAAATGTTATTATAAATTCGCCTTCTAACTTGTGGACTCGAATTTGCAATGCGATGAGAGTGCAATCGGCACGGGACAACACTAATCAAAATGTAGATGATTTGGAAACTACTGCTGGTGAAACTTTTGAAGATGTGAATTTGAATGAATTAAATGATGCAAATGTACCGGCTTATAGCGCTGTAGGAAATGCTAACAATTCAATTTTTGGCCAAGGGTTATGGGCCCCAGTTTTAACCAATGACGATAATAATGAAAATTGTAATGCATGTGATAATTTAGATGAACCTGTGCCATTAAGAACTACACTATGGACAAGAATATGTAATATTATAGGTTTTGGCTCATCCCGGATAAACACAAGTAATGATCCTAATCTAAACACTCCAGTCCATTCTGATGATGTTTTTGAGCAAGGGGATTTAAATTTAAACTTCAATGAAATTTTATCAAGCGACGAGGATTTCTTAACTAGACTTGAAGATATCTCAAGAAATGTTGTTATGGTATCACCTCCTCCTTATACTGAATTGATGTTAAATGAGCCTCCTGTCGGACCTCCGCCCCCTTACGCTAGTAGGGACAACTTAGCTGATTTTACACCAGGGCCAAATAATAGCTTAATCAATAAATTTGCTGAACAAAATCAAGAGAACCTGAGTGCTGCTAATGAAGGTTTTGTCATGGGAAATAATAATTTGGACAATGACAATTTGAATGAGCAGGTCATGCCTAGTACCAGCACAAGTCCAGAAACGACTGATAGAAATAGTCATAATAATGGTATGAAGATCAAAGATGGTGTTGGTTCCAATAATAATGTTAGTAGAAATGGTGATGTAAATTTTAATTGTAACTCTAGCAAGATGTTAAGCAAAGCTACTTCTGAAGATTTTCATGTCGGCAATGAAGATTGTAAGAAGTTAACTGATTTACCAAACTGTAATGTTATTACTTGTGATAAAGATGTTAATATAAGCGGCCACTTGATAAATATCACAGATAATGAATCAAGTAGCATTGTAGATAATTTAAATGTAAGTAAAAATTCATTTGGTGAAACTTCTTTAAATGCAAATACTAAATTAAGTTCTAATAACAGTATTGATTTCAAAGATATTTCAAATAATTCGGATCAAAGTAGTGAGTTATGTGTGAATCACAATATTTTAACTGATTCTCAAATTGACTTCAATAAAGGAAATACTTTTTCTTTCAATAAAAGTACATTATCAAGAGATTGTAGTGAAAGTTGTTTAAAAAACATAAATTCAGCTGAGAGTAATAAAAATTTAAGAGATCTTTTCACTAAAAATCCCGCTAAGTATAAATTTTTTTGTGGTAGTTTGAATATAGATAATTGTGATGCATCTAATAATGGAAATGATACTAATTTAAAATTTGTAGAAACGAACAAACTTGTGGGTAACTCAGATGTTCCGAATGATCAACTTTTAGACGAGGCCAGCTCAAGTAATAAAGGGCATTTTAATGATAAACTTGATACAAATACGTACTTTTGTGATAGATCAAACATGAACAATAATATGAATATTTGTGATACCCATTATGACAAAATTAAAAAGAGTTCAGAAGAAAATTTTATAAAACCAATTGCAAGTCATGATTATAATAATTCAGATATGATCAGAGGTAGTAATTCTAAAGAAAATGATAAGCATTTAACTGATAATAATACAAAAAGTAAAGATAATAATTATTCATATAAAATGTTAGATCATGCAGTATCTGATAATGCTTTTTCTATGAACTCTTGGCCTGGTATAGGTACCCATTTATTTTGTGATAATTCCAAAATTGATATTTCTCATATAAATCAGAACAGTAATAATTCTATTTTAAATAATACTAATGTAAAAGTTAATTCTGAAAAACTATTTTCTAAGTCTTTTCCAATTTTAGCAGTTGACAAATTTGACACCGATGTGGTTGTTGATAACACTTCTTTAGATGATGTTAATACTAATATGAATAGTGATGAGAAATTAGATATTCACAATTCAAATATTTATTCCACACTTGAAGATCAAAGTCATGTTAATTTAGGTGAGGAATTTAATGAGAACTATTCAGTTGATAATGTTTCCTCGAATGATAGCTCAAATATTAGAAGCACACTAAACACTAAAGAAATAGAACAATCGAGTTTAGTAAATTCTGAAACTAATGGTAATAATAATGTACTTAGTCATAATAATATAACGATCGAAAATCTCGATGCTTTGAATATAAGTACTATTAATGATACAGATAATAATGTCCAAACGTCCAAAACCGCAAATAACGTAGAAGATTTAAGTCTGTAAATCGAGAATGAATTTTAAATAATTATTATATTTAGTATTCGAAAATTTTAATCCTAATATTTGACACATTGAGTTAAGAATGACTGGTTCAAATAACTCAAAAGGGCACAATTTGCTACTTACTCATTTATTAAACTAAATTAGTTTGACACAAGTAAAATTTATGCAAATCAGGGTACAAATATGTATTATTAATATATGTATCTATTAAATGTAATAATATTTATTGATGTGTTTTTATTATCGTGTAAATTGCACACGTGGATAAGATTATATATATTTGAATTAATATATATACATACATACATACATACACATATATATATATATATATATATATATATATACAGTGGCGTCGGAACCGTGTGGGCTGTGTGGGCTTGAGCCCACCCATGAATTTTGATGGGGGGGCTCAGCCCACCCATCAATTTCAAAAAATTATATGAGCTAATATCGCTAAAAAAAAAACGAGCCCACTGGCTGTCCATCAAAAAAAAAAAAAAAAACGAGCCCACCCATCAAAAATTTGGTTCCGACGCCACTGTATATATATATATAAATTTGAAATTTAATGATATAACCATATATGGTTGTATAAGTTTTACATATATGTGAACCACTTAGCTAACAAGACTTGTTCAGTACAAAATACTAATAATAACACGATTATCTGTTTTAATATATATATATATATATAATATATATATATATATATATATATCGGATGGTGAAATATATTGTGTGAAAATTTTTCAGCCGTCCAACCACTTTTATTCATCATATTAACAACTGTATTCAATTTCAATTCCAATTTATTCAAAATTTTATTGTTCAGTATTTAGTTTACGTTACATTATTAGTGTATTTTCAGAAAATCCGATTTGATAATTTTTTATTTTCCTCGACGTTTCAAGTCATTCTGTATTCTTTGAGACACCAAAATTGGAAAAAAATTGATTAATATCTGCATGAGTATGTGAGCCTAAATTTGACTTATGTCGACGATTTCTGAAAAAACGCCTGGACTGATTACCAAAATTTAAAGGCCATTTGATGAAACTCGATAAGGATTTGTTTCGATTTGTTTTGCATGAAGATCGACCGAGCAGTTTCTTAAAATTAGCAGAAAGTGCAACAATTTTGTCTACTTCTTTGCATAATCTAATATATTCTGATTGGTTTCTGGTGAATATAAATCAAGCCATTTTTTCGTAATAAATTTTGTAATCTATTTTTGACGATTTTTATGCAACTTTGTATGATTATACAGTTCATAGACTCAATGAACCATGTTGTAGGCCTACCAAAAATGATTGGTATAAAACTAATTATAAAAACTTAATAAAATTTTAAAATTTTGTTGCCACAATTTTAAAAGTTTCCAAATCTTATTGATTGAATCGATTATTGATCGAAAAATTTATGCAACTGACTTAAAAAATATGGTGACATATATATAAATTAAAATTGATTTTGAGGTAATATTTATCATTCATACATATATATATTATATATAATATATATATATATCATATATATATATATACATATAATATATATATAGATATATATAATTATATAATTTGTATGTATGGATGTATATGTATGTATGTATGATAAATATTCCTCAAAATGAATAATATATAGTGTCAACCAAATGCGGGTGTACATCAAACACTCCCTGCTTAAATATTCTTAACATCTATGACAATAAATCACAGTATTACATGACTCAGTAATGACATTTTTTAATTTTTAATAA